AAGGTATATTATTATATAGAGGGTTTGATACTGCCATGAACTGATGAACCACCTGTCAATAAATTGCATTTTTATTACCCAACTATTGATCGGTAAAGCACGATTGAGCATAAAACGATTGAGCATAGACCTTTTTAGCAACACGATTGAGCATAGTTTATTTTATGCGATGTTGCCACATTCACGTTGCCAACATTTTGTAATTTATTATTTTCTCGTGTTATTACACCAATTATTATGATATCTGACGCGAGCCGTGAGCTTTATCTACTTTATCAATTTTATCGACAACGTTATCGATTAATAAAATTAGTTCCGGAGCCAAACGACGTTTTAAACATTTAGCATCGGGGGAAAATATAAGATAATTAAGATACAAATCCAAAATTATTATAGAAATAATATCAGTGTTCGATTACCTGTATAGTGTATAGTGCGTGTATACTTAGTGCGTTTTTCTATTTTATTAAAATATGGATATAACAATTATTTTATCGGAAAGAGGCAAAGGATTGGCCCTAGTTAATTTATACAAGTATAAATTAATTGGAGAGCGAAAAAAAGACAATCTTTTGAGATGGAGGTGTACTAATAATAAATGTTCGACAATAATGTTCTCGGGTTTAGATAAACGTAAAGTGATTGAAACTGCTGGACAACATAATCACGATAAAAATTCTATTGAGAAAATAGAAACACAAGTTTTAAGAGAAAATTGCAAAAGAAAAGCTGAAGAATCAATTTCCACACGGCCACTTAAAATTATTCGCACCGAACTTTTAAATTCTTCTTCAACATCAAATTTAAACAATCAAAATGTTTTGATTTTATTATTTTCATAAGTCATAAGTCATAACTATTATTATTATTTTATTATCAACAAAAAGATCTATAAATTATACTGTGACAACTATTTACATATTAAATATGAAAACATGATATTTTTTTGTCATGTTATATTTTGAAATATTATAATTATTTAAATAAATGTTTTTATACGATACAGTTCAAAATTGAAAATGGCAACGTTGCAGAGTTTTTTATGCTCAATCGTGTTGGTTTTCTTTTGTATTTCAATTTCCTTTGATACGCCGACAATTTATGCTCAATCGTGTCGCAAAAAAGGTGTTTTATGCTCAATCGTGTCGCAGCCCTATTGATAAGCACTTTTACATTTAATTTAATTTATATTGTTCGGTACTTACCAATATAAATATAAATTTATTATTATTATTATTATTATATAGTAGTAGAACAGTGTAGGAAGCTGGTGAAAAAGATAATGTCCTGTTAATCATAGTCCGTGATTGATATCAATTATTATTATTATTATGTTACAGTATCACACTATACCCAACAAAATATTTATATTATTATTGTATTATTACAGTTGAAAATTGACTGACCTGCTGTGACTATTACTATTATAATTAACAATTAATTATTATTTTCATTATAATATATAATAATATATTATTATATTTTGTTCACATTTATATTTGTATTTCTGGGCTTTTTTTCCTCAGTGTATTTTTTTTTTTGGGGCTTTTTTTCCGTGGGCTTTTTTTTCTGGGCTTTTTTTCCGTGGGCTTTTTTTCCGCGATTCAGACAGGATATATTCTAGTGGTCATTTTGTAGAGATCATATTTGTGTTTCGGTGGTTATAATTTACCTGGTTAAGTCAGGTATTGGAAGGGTGGGAACTAAGAGTAGGTATATAGAGTAACTATAAAAAAAAACTATGAAATTTATCAAATTATCTGTTTATCTACGAAATAGATGTTTATTATTTTCAATTTTGTTACAACATCGAATATTCTAAAGGAAGGATTCCGTACCATCATTTATAATAATAAACATTTTGGCAACAACACTTCTTATATTATATATTCTAGGATATTTGTTGTTATAGTGGCAACAGAAATACATAATCTGTGAAAATTTCAACTTTCTAACTTTTATGATTCTTGAGATACAGCCTGATGACAGACGGACGGACAAACATTAGCCTTAGTAATAGGATTCCGTTTTACCGTATAGAACCCTAAAAAGTATTAATCCAATAAAGACTATGATTTTCAGTTTATTTTATATAAGGTAGGTGTTTGTATAATTTATATGTTGTATTTTTCTGAGAATATTAAGAAAAACGATACTTATTAGTTATTAGTTATTTTTTTGGCTGTAGTCAATTTACACCAAAATTGACCCAAAATATACAATATGTGTAATTTGCACCATTTTTTTTAAAATGCTTTTGTAATTTCCACCAAAATAAGGATAATATGTAATTTGTACCATCCTCAGGTAGTTAGAAATAGGAATTATAATTTTGCACCAAAATTAAATTCGATTATTTTTTAGATCCTATCTTGATAGTACCAACTTACAAGTTTCTATATCCTAATATAAATTTAGCTTAGTTTTATTTATTGGCTGAGTTTATTTATACACATATTGTTGTAAGTTAATAACGTAAATATCGTCCTCAATTAATACATGGGGATAGACCCCAAAAGATACTTATCTTCCACCCACTATTATAATATACACACAACTTTACCTATGATCCGATTCAAAACTATTACAAATTAAATGTAAATTTATTCAGTTTTATAGTCATAAAATTTACCTATATAATTTTTTATAATTGCATCTTTTTTTCCTTCTCAGAAAACTTGTTAATAGTAAGTTCATCTTCATTATCTATTTTGTAGGATAACTCTTTCTATGTTTATAATTTATTATAATAAAGATATTACCTATATATTAAAATATCTTAAGGGCTTAAGATGGTTCAGGGAGGGTTAAACCTAAGCTTTCCCTATTACATCCACAGGCCCCATTGCCCCTATATTTTCATCCGGCAATAAACTATACAGGGTGTAACAGAAAGATATGACAAAATCGATTTTGGTTTTTGGTTAAACTCTAAAACAAATTAACGTATATACATGAAATTTTCACTGGTAGTTTATATTTGCATTTTCTATACACGATAACATTTTGATTTGTTTTGAACCGTTTAGGAACATTTCCAGTATATGTATATGTCGTATCTTTCTGTTACACCCTGTATATGTTATACTATAGTATTGTACTATTAAACTTTTTATACTATACTATAGTTAGTCTACACAATAATCCATCAACATTTAACTGTCTGATATGGATAATTTAGATGATTAGTTTGGAAGGTAGTGTTTAGAATCTGAAACTAATAAGTAGTATGCAAATAATAGTATTCCACTCAATGGGAAAAAAAAAATTTCCTAAATTTAAGTTATTGAAATTTCCAAAACTAAGTTGATAAATCAAAATGTCAAAAGAAAAAGTGAGAAATTTAAACAAATAACTGTTCCAATAGAAAAAAATGTTCAACACTATTGTCTACCATTTTATTATTTATTAGTTTATTAATATTATTCTTATAACGTTTTATCGTTCCTAATACTTACTTATTTTTTTTATTTAACACGTTCACTAAGTACTGACGCCAATTGGCGTCATAAGTATCATTCAGCAACGCGTTTGACGCCATATGGCATCTAATATACATTTAAAATAAATGGTTTAAAATTACCTACGCGTGGCTGAATGTTATTTTATTATTATTTAGCGTGGATTAAATGCATGTTTTTAAATATGTATACATACGTCGTTATGAACAGTTTCTTTATATTTTTTTTTTAATTTCTTTTGTTTTTACTTTCATCATACGCACTGGGTGAAAACTGCAAAAAGACATACGCAGTCTACGTGTTAAAAAGAAAATGTATTGCAGCGTCAATTTAAACTATTAAAAACATAATAGTTGGCATAAAGCAAATAAAAATAAATAGGTACATTACAACTGAAAGCTTATGTCAATCGCATAAATATATAATAAGTTTTAGACATTATAATTTTTCAATTTAATACAATCATTTAGATCAGCTGATATTATTTTTTTGATTATTGAAAAGAAACTGGCTAATGCAACGGCCGGATTCAATTGTATGGGAATTACCCACTTTTCCAAACAATTTTTTATCGAACATATTTTAAATTATATCGCATATATCACATCAACATTGGAGAAACTACTTAATTTTATTTAACACACTCAAATTGTGATTATGAAACAATGTTAAACGAACAGTTGAAATATATTATTTATATTTTTAAATGATAAAATTATATATTGGGACAGATAATTAAAATAATGATTAATGCATAAGAATTGCAGTTTGTTATTCTTTAGTAAACCTGGCAATGAAACCAACCAAGAAGACTAAAAATACCAAGTGTTCAAAAAAAAAAAAAGCACCAAGACATTATACTAGCCTTACACATTGTATGAGACAAATCAGTGATATTTAGCAAATACACAAATTCCGATATTTTGTATATTTGACATTTGGAAACTACAATAACAATAATAATTAAGTCATGTAACCACAATTTGTAATTTTACCATTCAGAACTATTTATTTATTATTTTTTTATTATAAACATTTTGGAATTAAACAATTTGTGAGATTTTAGTACTTATTGAGTAGTATTTAAATGATTTGGTGTAATATTACATTGTTTAACACACATTTATTAATAGAAACTGAAAATTTTAAACTAGTTTTGACACAAATGATATTAAAATGAGAAGATTTGTTCAATGAGTAATTGAACAAATTATGTATGTTCAATCAAAAGCTAATGATAAACCAAAATGAGTTAATATAATTTAGAGTATAACACAGACAATTGTATTTTTCTTTAGATGAATTAAAAATTATAATATTTAAATATGAGGTTGTCAATTTATTTCATGTAGTGTCATATTTAATAATTTTACTAGTAGCATAAGACTGGTGGCAGTATAAGTGATTTAAATTCCATGATCGAGGCACACACAAAACAAAGTATAAGAATAATGTTGAAAAAAAAAATAAACAAACATTAGAGCTACAAGAGAACCAAAAACCAGAATAGAATGATATTTAATTAGTTAAACTAAAATTTCAATCGTCATCATCTTCTTCATCTTCAGATTCTGCCTCAGCTAACCATGTCAGCCAAGTGTTTACTTGGAATAATGCTTTGCCTTTGCCCGGATATGCATCTGTTACATCTTCACGCCACTTTAAGAAAGCTTCTTCTTCAACAATTTCCAACTCATACATTAAATTGAACCATCTCAATAACAAGCCTTTTGGAAAATCAAGTGAAAAAAAATATGTTTGTAGTGCATAGATGGCATTCATTTGCAGATCATTTTGGTCATCAAAAAATGTTCTCATTATTGGCTTGAATTTTTCGAGGAGGCTCTTTTCTTTTTCCAAATCAGCTTTTGAGGCATTTACTTCAGTACTGTTTGTCTCTTGAGTTATAAATTTGACCATCACTGTGGTTAAGGCCGTTATAAAACCAGGATCGACATAATGGACGGGATCTAAATTTTCTTTAATCCATTTATAGAATTGAGTTGGGTTTGGATCACTAGTAATTTGTTTCCACAAGTCAGATTGTATACGCAACAATGGGAAAAGGAAAGTTAAATTACGTTCTTGCAAAATTTCTGCAAGCTGTTCTTTAGTTCTTAAAGATTCGGGTAAAGTGTTTAGTAGATTGACTTTACTTTCTTTAAACACTGTTGTTAGTTCATTTTTTCCTATGACTTCATTTAATTCTTGTAAGACCATTAAAAACGCTGGATATCTTTTACCATTCTCTGATACCTCTGCAAGTTCCGATATAGAAGATACATTTTGACAGATTTCAGCAGCATATTTAGAAAAACGTTTATATAATGTTTTATCATCATCAGACTCATACTCCGGTCCTTTCAATATAAAATGTTTTAAACAATCTATGGCAATAGATTCAGAAATAATACTTTGTTTCTTGGTCTCCTGAGTGAAACGGAATAGTAATTCTTCATCCAAATCAACTCTCTTACGAAACCGATCAAAAAGAAGGACATACATAACATCTGCTAAAAATCGATCAGGCACCTTGATATCTGCAAATGCTTTTGCTGCTTTTATAGCATCCATAGATGGATCTGTGCCAAGTTTGTCCAAAATATCTAATCCTTTCTTTATACCTTCTTCTTTAGAAACTCCCTTATCTTTTTTCAGATTTTTATGTTTATCATGTGAATTTTGTTTTATCTGAATTTGTTGTACTTCAGTTAGCTTTATTTGATTTGATTGACCTATATGAGTCATAGATAATGGAGGTGGTTTTATTTGAATTTGTTTACATAACATACTATTTGCAGCTGGACGTAAGGACATATCTTCAGGCTTAGTACCTTGTTGAACACGTAATAGTTTTTTAATATTTGGACCTAGATCTTTCATATTGTTATTGTTCATATTATTATTAGTATTGTTATTTTGCTGGGTATTAATTGTATAGTTTATTCTAGCTGGTGGATAATAGTTATTGCCAGAGTTAATATTTAATAGTCGTTGGTGGTTTTTGTGACCATTAACATTATAGTAATTACCCGAATTGGTAAAACCATTTATGGAATTAAATTTATCTGGCATTGTAGAATTGAATGGTAATACCGGAGTAGAACTTATCATATCATCTCGTATTTTTAGTGAGCGTCTGAACATTTCTTTAGACTGATTCACATTTTGCATTTGGTTGTTTCTCTGATTCTGCCCGTTTGTCTCTCCACTCACGATATCAGTCACCTATAAACAAATATTAAATTAATACCATAACTCATTATTAAGTTTATTATTTCAATTAAAAGTGTAATGAGTTAACATGATACTATTGTCCTATTAACAACTTTGAACTTTTGGTATTCGTTTTAATTAAAAAACATAACTCGGATAAATTATATATTGTGGGGCTAGAAAAATCATCATTAAATGCTAGTGAAAAATATGGAATATGTAAAATATGTGAATATATGTAGAATACGTATACAAATATGGTAAGTAAGCTTTTGTTATAAAACTTCTATCCTAGAGTGGAATTGTGGCCCATACCACAAGACTATTTCACACATAGTAAGCCAGTGCTCAAGACATAAATTCAATGGGGCACCTCAGGACTTTGTAAATGCAACCCCTAACGCAATCGAGTGGATACAGAACCTAGACATCAACCTATGAATAATATGTACTATATAAATTTATATGTACTCAAATATCCTTTAATGTTATACTCTACGATATTTTGCCCACATTTTGTTTCTAATACCCTATAGTCATTTTTACCAATAATAGCACTATATGGTTTTAGTTTATAGTCTGTTGTCATTACTTTATAAGCCATATGAATAAATAAAAAAAGCAATTCATTTTTCTATTTTCCCATTGGAGAGACTTCCGAAGCTTTTGAATGTAAAACCAACTTGAGACACATTATTACCAGTACTTTTCAAACATGATGATTGAAAAGTGATGAGAGCAGGATGACATTCAGGAGGAGTGAGAGATGGAAATCATCGGGGTGAACATAATTTCAGCGTACATCCTAGAATGAAGTTGAACAAAAGGCGAGAGATTATTCAAAGCTAGCCATAATATGGGTCTGTTAATTAATGAAGCCAAAACAAAATATATGGTTAGGTCAAGACAAGTGACTCAAAATAATAACATCAATGTAAATAGAGTATGTGGAAGAGTTTAAATATCTGGGAGTAAATATTAATGAAAAAAAAGTGGACAAGTGGGTACCGCTCTGCTATACAGTAGTTGTCGAGCATGTCATTGTAATGGATGTTATATTTTAATTCGGTTAAAAATTATTTAATTTACCTATGAAAATCCAATATAGTACAAATTCAAATTCAAACACTCATAAATAATTAATGTTGCTTTATGGTAAACTTTTTTTTTTGATTAAGGTAGGTAAATTTGGGAAAAGTCTTCTTTCAACAATTATAATGTTAGCTTTGAAAAGTTAACCATTAATGAATTTCTAACTGAAAAATGTTGGATAATCTGTTGAATTTTGTCAAAATTTTTATTTCTATTGCATATAAAAAAAAAATCGTGCCTATGTATTTCTAATTTTTTTGAACTCACGTTTATAAAACTTACAAGGAATGTTGTATTAAATTTTCAAGCTTTTTACTAAGTGAAAGATTTTATTCAGAATAGTTTAAAAAAAATTACAAATTTCCAAAAATATCTCAAGGCCTAAAAAGAGTCAAAATATTATGAAAATGTTACCATTTACGTGAAATGCTAATATATAATACTAATATAATGCTAATGTGTATAATGTGGGTTCAGGGGTATTCGAAAGAAGAAGAAATGACAAGTTACAAAGATATTATAGCCATCACAGTATTTGTCAATTCATTTGTAGGATAGAATGGGCGGGTGACGTTGTGGAGGGCAGAAGGATGCCTCATAAGGTTATGATGGGGAACCCAACTACGGTGAAGAGACCTGTCTAAAATAAGCAACACCTTCAGGTTAGGTATGGCAACTGATAGGGATCAGTGGAGAAGGATTGCGGAAGTGGAAAAGGATCTTAATGGTCCATATTAATAGGCCAGAAGAAAAACAACAAAAACAAAACTGTATATCTCAAGATAAGATAGAATTATTTCTTTTGATGTCTGTAAATATGATATTTTAAATTAACAAAACTTATTATATTGATTCAATAAGTAACAAAAGCGCTATGTCATGAAAACTATGTTGTTGGTATGAAAGAAAAGTGTGATTGTTTGAACTCTTTAATAATTAAAATAAATTAAATTCATATTTTCTTAGGTCCTATTTTTAATTTAAAATAATGTTATTATAATATGTAACAGTAATAATAAGTTTTAAACCCATGAAATAAATTAAGTACCTAAATAATTTATTTATTACTATAAATAAACCTATACTGTTTGTTATTGTCACAGATATATAAAAATACTAGATAGCCGATAGTCCATGCGTATAAAATAATGTCTCCAACAAAATGGCCGCCAATCATTATTTAAGAGGTGACTGTTTACAAATTAAACTGATACGGTAGGTGATAAGATACTATTTTGCATATATCACGATTAAATATATACAAAAACCACATGTAACTTATCAATACTATACAACATAAATATTCACCTTTTAGATAACGATGGTAGCCATTTTATTGGCGACAATAATAATACTAAAGTCGGCTATCTAGTAGTTTTATATATCTGTGGTTATTGTAATAATTGAAACTATCTGGAAATTTTTTAATTTAGCTGTCAAGTCTTTACAATTTTAGAAACCATACAGAAAATTTGTCAAACAAATGTTTAATTGAAAAATATACTCGACTGGGTGTTTCAAATTATAACTCTGGTCGGTTTTACTTCTCAATCCGACATTATTGTTAAGAGTTTAACAAACATAAACAATAACTAATAATATTATTATCGACAGAAATTGGGAACCTATTTAAGAAAAAACTATTACAATTTTGAAACTAACCTGATCCATGAGCATTGGACCTTCTGTGGTAGTAGCTTTTCGTGGTACCCAGTTGTCCTTTCTCAATTGCATGGTGTCTAACAACATAAATTTGATTCTCAATGGCAGTTCAGGATATTCAGCATACTGAGCAATTCTATCAAAATACTGATTCATCAGTGGTTTTGCTTTTTCCGTGTCCAATATGCGACCACATGTTTTCATTATCTGACACAAGCATTCGAGGTCCTCCGCCGCGTCCTTGACATTGGACTTCCTCGGGAATAACTGTTGAATGCACAAGTGCAATATTTGTTCCGCCACGATCTCCAACTTGCCAAGTTCGCCGATGAAGCGTATGTTGCCCAACATCTTGCGCTTAGCCACCTATGAATCAATTCACACATATAATAGGTAATTTTAATCTTGTAAAATATATGCTGCATAGATTATATACATTAGAAAATATAAAAAGTAGCAGTCTTTTTTTAGACATAATAAATGAAGGTTTATAGGTAATATTATATAATAGGTATATATTGTAAGGGAGTTAAATAATATAGGCTTTTGTACAAGAATTACATTAAGTACTATACAAATTAAATACTATTAATTAATTTATCTCACCTGTCGTCGTTCTTCGTCTTCTGGAGATAATGGTGTTCCATTGTCATTGTCAAACTCAGCTGTTGCTTTAGAACGGTTATCAAACTCGACCTTACACCTTTTTAGTAATAATTCGCGAAAAGTGTTTGGATCTTGGTCAATTAAGAAGTTTGATGCCTCGTCGCTGAGCCTTTTGCACAGCTGTGCGTACATAGAACTATACTTAGGTTCATCGAGAGCTTTTTCAAAAATCAAAAATATGACACCCTTCAGTACAACACTGGTGTTTAAGCCAATTTGCAAAATATCATCACTCAGTTTTTGGAATTTATCGGGCGTAAGCTTATTAAGAATGCCGCGCACCTTGCGAAACACGGCATCATTAGCGTCCTCTTGGGCGAGTGCATCGCGTCTGATTATCGAGGGAGGTATCCAACGCGGTTGCTGATTGGATTCGGAACGGGCGTCGTCCCTTCCTCCGAAGACACGAGAAGCACCCCCGCGTTCTGCGTAGACGTCCGTCGTGTCTTTACGTGTCACCTGCGGGGACGAATATGTCTCTTCCTCCTTAGTATCCAACGGCAAACTGGATATTTTAATATGAGACACCAATGTAGGTGTATTATGGTAGACTTTCGCAGGTAAATCTGAGCTACACAATATCTTGATTATTGGTTGGGTATCACAGCTATAATTCCATGCAAATTTCTGAAAATATAAAAATATACACATAAATATTATATTAATCTAACAAATATACAAGGATGTATGAGGAATCATAAAATTGTAATTTAATAGTTTGAAATAAAAAGCCAAAGGGTAGGTATATGAATTACAAATAATATTAATATCTATTTTAATTATAATTGTTTCTGTTATTCAAAATAAATAGGAAGCAGTAGGTACTAGGTAGTGTCTAAACATTTTAAATGATTTTCAAAACTATTTAATTCAATTAAATAATAACAATGCCTACAATTAAAATGTTAGGTACCTACTTGATAAATTATAAATATAATTATTAAAAAAATGTACATATTAGGTAGTCAATATTATTTATAGTTTTCAGAAATTCCTCGTTAAATTCTTAATTAGCTTTTATGTAATTGCTCGCAGATAAGAGAAAAATTCCCTTGATAATTTTTTAGAGATTTAATGTTATACCTAATATATTCTGGTGAAGTAACTGTACCTATCTCTAAATCTCAAATAATACACCTAGCCTTAATAAATCAAACATGATACATATATTATAATTAATTAGTGAATATAATGTGTTATTTATTCAATGATTAAGAGTTTCAATAGTGGTCTAATTGGGGAAGTACCCACATTTTAAGATTTTGGAGTAAAAGAGTAACTTAACCTCCTTGCAATAGGTTAGGTAAATCTCATGATACTCTATAGAACGGAAGTAACAAGAGATTGAGCATTTCAGAACCTACATTCTACTAGATTTCACCGAAAATTAAATCTCAACAAAGATTTGAACTCACGAATGTATTACATATTAAAACATTACATTTAAATAACCTAGAAGACCTATACCTAGGTGAAAATTAAGTTTCTGGCAGATAAGCAAAAAATATTAATATAATCCGACGTTACACTAGACTCTAGAGCAACACAAAATAGAATGATAACGTGGGATAAGCGGAAGAGGTGGATCGACGCTGGACGGCGGAAAAACCCAAAAATAAAGCCGACGGCCGGATGTCCGTGAGTAGGATTCGCGGGGCGAGGTGAGGTGTTTTACCTGCGGCGGCGGCGACGTACGAAATTGTCGGAACGCGAGCGGGTAATCCCCGAAGAATCGCCGACAGAGTGACGGACCACTGCGAATATTCTAGGTTAAGATCGAGCAACGGACCGCAGACACAATGGTGAATGGAACGTCATCGAGATTACTCGTCTCGCACGTTCTGGATCACCGGACGGAAGGCGAGCGTCGAGGACGAGGACAAGGACGGACCCGATGACGGCGAAAAAACCAGTGTTCACAACACGGGCGGGACGGGGGGAAGAGTGGCGGTGATGACGATCGTCGCCCCCTCATACGGCACACCACCACCACCACCACCGGAAAAGGGTACTTTTCGAACCTCGATGACGGTGTTCTGTGTAGGTGTTCGATTATGCAATACGTACGAAGACGCTCAAACGCCGAAAATTGAAACACCGTCGATCAACAGGTACAAGAAAAACGCATGAAATTACAACGCCTTGGGTTGAATTTACGCTTCCTGTACTCGAGACAACGACTACGACGGCCGCACACACACAGACACACGTAAACACATCCAACGGACGTGTACACACACTTACACACACACACACGCGCGCACGCACACGATATCTATCCTTTTCTCGTTACCTTTGTTTAGAAGAAATCCATCGCGGTAAGCAGAACGCTAGCTGCAAGGTTAGGCGTGCTGGTAGAACGAAGTACGAAAAAACGTAAGACACTTAAACGAAATGTACAACGAACGTCTACGTTCGATCGCGGATCCAGAGGACCGAACGGCGACGGGCAGTGAAAAAAAATCAAAAATAGGAAGTATAAATAAAATATAAAAACAGTCTAGAATGTAACGTTTGTTAGTGCGTACTGTGTAACAGAAAATCGACTTACGTACTTGGCTGCAGCTGCGGTCGGTCTTTGTCGGGCAATCGTGACTCGTGATGGGAATTGATTGCGGGCCGTCGTCGTCGGTGGGGGGCGGCGGCGGCGGCGTTGATGCCTCGACGGTGAGCTCGGACGACACGGGCGCACGGGACGACAACACTATCGACAATATACGGAATTACAATTCATAAGTAATTGCAGACCCGACATCGGTCGTTGCGCGTGTGTGTCGCATTCTCGCTGACTATAATATTCACCAAGCAGTAAGGACCACGACAACGGTGTCGGCAACCGCGTGCGATTGGCGTGACCAACGTAAACACTAAACAGCCCGACCGCGCGTTTTCGATCACGGGGCACGGATACTTCCGTGGTTTCGACAAACGCAGTGGTGTCTAGGGCACTGTCGGAAAAGCGTCTACGGAAAGTTGACGTGACTACAGTGAGGTGCACGGACTAAGATTTATCCAAGATATATCTTAGTCCGTGAGTTGCAGTAGTAAGTTGTCGTTGTCTCGCCCAAGTAAAAAGTAAGTTGTATGCACTGCGGTCGGCGGGCGTCCTTGTTTGATTGCGGTTTCCCTCCTTCCCCAATATCAACTACAGCTACTAACGTATACTGCTACAAATAGTAGTACAATACGTATGGTACAAGTCTACAACTCCCCGAGTCCGAGTCGATCGCGTAGTGTGTAGAGGTAGACGGTCATCCGCGCGTCACAAATCACAATGCGAGTATGCGACATTGGCCGTTGACCTATGGTTACGATACATGTACTAGACGGCCATTGGGCCATTGACATTTTACACGGCCGACTACTATAAGTCTATAAACACTATTACTATACTATTATTATTATTATTACTATTTTTATATCTTACCACTACCACTAGCCTACCACGACAATGACGTTTTAATATTTATTATTTTTATTCATGACTAATTTTTATTTAGTCATGTTTTTATTGATGCAGTACACTTCTACTTATTTGATAGGTGTTCTCCGAGCGGGGGACGCCTGGACAAGGGTTGATGTTATGTATTGCACTGGGTAGGCTGGCTGATTCCAAAATGTAGAACATTTTATTTTTTATTTTATCAATTACGATGAAATAAGTAAGTATCTACGACCTATATAGATTATAGATATGTACATAATATCATTCATAAATCATAAATGATTAAAATGATACCTAATACATAATAAACACGATCTAATACAATATACAAATCTCGTGTCACTGTGTTATTGTACGAACTCCTCTGTACGGCTCGACCGATTTAATGCATTTTTTTTTTATATTTGGTAGGTATGAGAATAGGTCTTAAAGTACCTATTAACGCCTTCCTATATGGGATCAACTAGTACCTATACTAATATAAATATATAGATAGATATTATAAATACTGATTATTTTAAATTAATAAATTAATACAATTTTAAGGATTGTATAGTGTATACGACCTGTGGAGATGTCTGCATATTATGTCTATTCTAAGTATATAATAGGTGCCTACATAATAATAAAAATACAATGCAATACAAATAACCAAGCCGAACCAATCACTGGTGGGGGCCCTTTCAATACTCAAACTATAATCATGCTCACTTTAAAAAAGGTGGGCAAGTGGTTACCACTTCTGCTGCAGTGCCATCATATACATTAGGTGTCAAGTGAGTCTCTGCCTCTGGCAGTGCGATCCCGAAAAAAATCCCCAGCTACAATATTACTTACTACCACATGCAAATGGTTGAAATAATATTTTTTAAACGTTAATTAGTATCTAATATCAATATTTAATTACAAATACGTATATTATATTATTTATTATAAATAATATTTTGTTTTAAATTACGATAATTTATTATGTGTAATTCAAATTAAGTAACTAACTTAACAACTTCGCGTCTTCACAAATAGGTATATAGAATATAAAAATATTTTGAATGATCAATACGTCAAATAATACAGTTAAAAACATAGTATACAAAATATAGGTAATAATAATTATATAAATAAATAACTATAAATAATTTTCGAAAAATTAAAAAATAACATTTTATATTACTATAGGTAATAATACACATTTTATGTTGGTACTCGTATAATTCTGTAAAAATTAAATCCCCGAAATAAAAGTTAAAGTTAAAAATAAGTTTTCAAAACTTCAAATGTTACTTATGATTGTTGTGTGAAGTATATAGTGTACACAAATATATTAAGTATAAAAATATTTCGAGTGATCGATATGTCAAATAATACAGTTCAAAACATAGTAGATATATAAAAATATTATA